ACTATTTTTCACTCAGCAAGGTATACTCTTTTCCCCAGATAGCTACATGAATATCGTTATCTTCACTTCTTTCCGGTCTCTGCTCAAATGCCACCTCAAGATGCCTCCCCTAAGTACTTTATCTAAAACAGCATCCGCTCCTCTCCTGCCATCACTTTCTACTTCCTTAGCTTGCCTTAGTTTTTCTTTATGACAATCACCACAATCATGTATTTGCTCATCTTTTGTGTCCCGTAAAAACGTAAGCTCCATGAAGAGAGTGCCTCACAGCTGATCCAAAATACCTAAAACAATGCCTGGCTCATAGAAGATGCAGAAACTACCAGGAAAAGGTAGTTTCCTAAGTAACATTTGGTAAATGTTTTTCATTGTAACCATATGGAATTAAGGACTTGCATAATACAGTAGAATTGTTAGTCTTGCCATTTATAAGGCGTTTGCCCTTGGAAAGCCACTTGTTTATGAGCCTCAATTTTCTAAACTGTAAACTAGTAAGATTATTCTCTACTTCACCATTTTATATTACTTTTGTGGAATAGAGTCTCTCTCATATAGCATTTTTTTATTTTTATTGATTTCAGATAGGGAGAGGGAGAGAGAGAAATGGTGATGAAAGAGAATCATAGATTCGCTGTCCCCTGCACACCCTCCACTGGGGGTCAAGCCCACAACCCAGCATGTGCCCTTGACTGGAATGGAACCAGGACCCTTCAGTTTGCAGGCCAACACTCCATCCACTGAGCAAAACGGGCTAACAGGTATAGCATTTTACTAATAAGGTATGTTAGTCTTTAGTGTTAATTCATCAAGAGCATGGACATTTTCTTACTCATCTATTACAAGACTCAGCACAGGGCCTAAATCTATAAATAATTGCCACAAGGATGGACAACCGAGAAGTATAAAAATTTCCTTTGTGAAATGAACTGAGCTTCAAATATTCATACTCTTATTTTTAAACTAGATGTCTGTGCATGGGGGGTTGTTTCCTCAGCTCAGCCCGCACACTTTCCAATCTGGGACCCCTTGGGGATTGGGCCTAAACTGGCAGTCAGACATACCTCTCACAATCGGGACCATTGGCTCCTAACTGCTCACCTGCCCGCCTGCCTGATCACCCCTAACTGCCCCCCTTGCCAGCCTGATCACCCTTAACTACCTCTGCCTTCCAGCCTTATCTCCCCTAATGCCCCCCTACCAGCCTAGTCACCCCCAACTGTCCTTCCCCCCCCACCCCCCCGCAGCCTGGCTGCCCCTCATTGCCCCCCCTGTCGACCTGGTTGCCCCACACAGCCTGTTCGGTCACTTGATTGCCCTCACTGCCCCCCCTGCTGGCCAGGTTGCCCCACGCAATTTGTGTTCGGTCGTTTGGTCATCCCTCACTAATGTCTCTGCCGGCCTTGTCACCCTACACAGCCAGCTGTTCGGTCATTACTGTGAGGGCATCTTGACCAATTTGCATATTACCCTTTTATGAGAATAGTTAATTGCTATAAGTGTCATTTCATTTTATATAGCAGATATAATTAGCCAAGTCTCTGAGCAGCTAGAAACATTCCCATTTAGTATGGTTTTTATTCAGGATAATGAATATGAATGCTTGTTTTGACTTAATGAATGGTTCTCCTGGGTCAGTGCTGAATAAATGCTTGTGCTACTCTGATGATTCTGATCCAGGCAGAAGACATGTGCTTCCATCAATCCCTGGATGACCCCCTCAACACAATGGAGAAAAGAAATGCTGTGTAATTTGTGGGCGTGAGCCAAACCTCCACTCATTAGAGTCAGCTAATTTATGGCAGGAATACACAAATACAAAATTGTCAAGCTGGAACCAGACATCTGAGAAATCTTTACATACATCTTCAGGTATAACTACTACCATTTCAGAGAACCAGATCGAGATCAGAAGGAATAAAGTTAATAGTAACAGGTAGTTAAAACAATTATTTAGTACAAATCCAGGTTCTTTTCCTATATTCATTAGCTTAAGGGAAAAGGTTTAACTCTAGACCTAAAAGGGAGTCCTCCCCCTTTTTAAAAAAAATATTTGTATTGATTTCAGAAAGGACAAGAGAGATAAAAACACCAATGATGGCCGAAACTGGTTTGGCTCAGTGGTAGAGCGTCGGTCTGCGGACTGAAAGGTCCCAGGTTCGATTCCGGTTAAGGGCATGTATATCGGTTGCAGGCACATCCCCAGTAGGGGGTGTGCAAGAGGCAGCTGGTCGATGTTTCTCTCTCATCGACGTTTCTAACTCTCTATCTCTCTCCCTTCCTCTCTGTAAGAAATCAATAAAATAGATTTTTAAAAAACACACCAATGATGACAGTCATTTATTGACTGTCTCCGGCATGCCCCACATTGGGGATCAAGCATGCAACCTGGGCATGTGCTGACTGGGAATTGAACAATGACCTCCGGTTCGTAGGTCAACACTCAACCACTGAACCATGCCGGCTGGGTACTCGTACTCGTTGCACCTTTTAAGAAATGCCTATAGTTCTTTGGTAGGGAATTTCTTGCAGGGCAGGATCTGGAACTGAAGTTCCCTTCAAAGACCCCAACAGAACTCTACTGACTTCTAAGAATGTAAAAAATGTTTAAAGTCTTACTTAGAATATTAAAAGTAATCTAAGAGGTCTCATAGTATAAGGATGATGCACTTACAAGGTTAACTTCCTTGTCATTTCAATGTATTTATGAAGAATAAACCATAATAAAAATGTTACAAGTAGCCTAAGCCGTTTAGCTCAGTGGACAGAGCATTGGTCTGTAGACTCAAGGGCCCCAGGTTCAATTCTGGTCAAGGGCATATACCTTGGTTGCCCGCATATACCCAGTAAGGAGTGTGCAGGAGGCAGCTGATCGATGTTTCTCTCATGGATGTTTCTCTCTATCCCTCTCCCTTCCTCTCTGTAAAAAATCAATAAAATATATATTTTTTAAATGTTAAAGTAAAAAGAAAATTAATAAGTAAATATGACTATTTTTAAAGTCAGGAATACCAAAAATATGACTATTTTAGTATGTTAAAATTCTGTTACCCACCCCTTTCCCTGCTAGTTCTACCAAAAATATTTTAATTACTATTATAAAAGAGTGAAAAAAAAGTTAAAAATGACCTGGCTGGAAGGTCACTAGTGAGCAGTCATATACTAAGAGACTATAAGATAATACTTAATATGGGATATAAGACTAGATATAAGAACGGTCACAGTCCTCGGTTGTCGTTTTCACAAAAACAACCCATACAAAGCCAACATTCTTCCCTTTTTCTAATAGCAGGTCTCAAAAAATATCCATCAAAAACGCTGCTAGTAATAGAATTCTTAGTTATGACAGCCTACAGACATCTTGTTCTCAAAGGCTTTTTTAGGCCTGGCCTGACATACAATATTCTACTCTGGAGGGATTTTGTTTGTTGTTGTCATCTACTGTGAAAGAACGATGTTGTTAAAATACTCATCTTTTAAAATCACAATCATAAAATCAAACTCAAAATTACCATTGCAGGTTAGTGTTAGGGAATCCCCAACATAATGGGCTATGTTAAAAAAAAAAAAAAAAAGTTTGGGGGAGAAATCAACCAAAGGATTTGTATGCATGCATATAAGCATAGCCAATGGACACAGACACCAAGGGCATAAGAAGGGGAATGGGGGAAATGAGGACACATGTCATACCTTAATTAAAAAAAAAAACTTTGAGGGTGATTGGTTGAAATCAGAAAGCATTCTTATCCCAGAAATATTGTAGTAATAAGGGAAATGGATCTGCAAAGCCTCATTTCCACTATCTGTCCCTCAATTTCCTGGTCTGAGACTAATGGACACTCAGGATGCTTCTTATACTTTCCAGGAGCCTCTCGTGCAGGACTCTATTATGGAATTTTCATAATAGGGGTACTTTTAAGCTGGGAAGTGTCTTGCTCACAATATGATTTTTAACACCTAAAATCTACCAATGTTCATTTTTACAATATAGGCAAGGCTTAAATTCTAAATGAAAAATATTTTTTAATAATCAGAAAATTAAAAACAGCTGAAACCGGTTTGGCTCGGTGGGTAGAGCATCGGTCTGCGGACTGAAAGGTCCCAGGTTCGATTCCGGTCAAGGGCATGTACATTGGTTGCGGGCACATCCCCAGAAGGGGGTGTGCAAGAGGCAGCTGGTCAAGTTTCTCTTTCATCGACGTTTCTAGCTCTCTATCCCTCTCTCCTCCTCTCTGTAAAAAATCAATAAAATATATTTTTTTTAAAATTAAAAACAAAGGGTATAAGAGGACACTAAAATGTCCTAATAGTTTATAGACCTCAAAAACAAAAGACTATTTTAAGATATGTAATAATTCCAATTTAAAAATGAATTTAAATTTAATCCCTTTAGTATAAAACCAAAATGTAATCTAATACCACGGGGACTAAAAGTTGAAAAACTAAACTATAAAAAAAATACCTGTACATGAAATGATTACAATTTAAATTCTTTGGATTCTTCATCTTCTAAGCCCCCATAAATACAGAATTAACGTTGCCAACCTAAACACAGTACTTAACAATTCGTATCTGTACTAAAATCTGTACTCTAGGAACATTTTGTGAGTTTTAACAGCTATCGTGAGAGCTTTAGGTGGAAAAAGTGGGGGTTAAAAGATAAGACTGCTTCTGACAGTAGCATAGTATAACTGGAACAAATAGTGGCTTAGACCTATGTATTTGACTACATTCCTGTATTTTTCTAAAAAAACAAACAAACAAACCTTTCAACATCTGAAAGTTTAATAAGCCCTTCCATTCTAAAGGTGGACCCCAATTACTCAGTCCCCTTTGTACATAAGGTAAACATTTATCTTAATTTGTTGGAACTGGTATGATGATGAAACTAAACTTTCACTGGAGTGCTTAGGATGTTCAAAATTCTTCCAAAGCTCTCTTCTGGTCCATTCGGAACAATCCGAATGTAAGAGATGGAGGTGGCGGGAGACCTGGAGCATACACTAGTCATGTTTGAGTCTCTCCGCCGAGGGCTCCTCCTTGTAGTAGGAAATGATCTGAATAAGGATGGAACAGTTGATAAGAAGGAAGTACAAGCCAGCTAACCAGATAAACAAAAAGGTGTTCTTCCCTTGAAACTCAAGAACGTAGGCGGGTGCCAGCCACAGGGCCTGCCCCGCAAACCACAGCATCAGGAGGACGACCGCCCTCTTCCAAGGTATCCTCAGGCGCGGCATCACGAGGGGCAGCAGGCAGAGGTACCAGAGGAAGTACTGGGAGGTGCAGACCTTGTTAAACGTCACGAAAATGGACGTGTGCAGAAAACAGCAAAAGACGAGGTCTCTGGAATAGGCCAGAGACACCGCTAAAAGCAAGATGCCCTGGGGCAGGAAGGCGGCGATGCCCAGGGAGAAACTCCACGGGCTCTCCGCGGTCAAGTACAACATATAGAAATACGGAGAAAAGTTGTGCCGGATGTCCCGCCGGGTCAGGTGGTAGAGGTAGGTGTGCTCCAAAAACTCCCAGCCGTACTGATAGTAAAAGCCCACACTCAGGGCCGCGAAGGTGAGCCCGGCCACGGCTCCGAAGAGCAGCACGGCCCGGCTGCACAGCCTCTTGAGGAGAGCGCACACCCCAGCCCGGAGGGGGTTCGGGCCCGGGTCCCGGCCGCGCTCGGGGAGCAGGTGCAGGGCGATGGGGAGCGCGTAGGTCACGGGGTAGATCTTCATGTGCACCGCGACCCCATAGCACACCGCGGCGGCCGCCACGAGCCTCTTTTCCAGGAGGTACAGGGTCGCCAGCACCAGCGAGGCCACGAGCGAGTCGGCGTTGCCGCGGCTGGACACCGCCATGGGGAGCGGGTTGAACAGCCAGAAGGCGCAGTAGCCGCACGCCTGGCGGCGCCCCAGCCGCCGGAGCAGCAGCAGGCGGAACGCGAGGAAGGCCGTGAGGAGGTCGCAGCTGATGAAGAGGAACTTGCCGAAGAGCTCGCTGAGGTAGATGTTGGGGGTGAGGAGCCACGCGAGCAGGGGCGTGTACCGGTAGGTCGCCCTCAGGTACGGAAAGCGGCCCTCGGTGACGAAGCGCGCGGCGTCCGTGAAGACGTGGTAGTCGATGTCCGTGTACCTCACGAGCAGCGTGCGGTCCTGGAAGACCCCGTAGAAGACCAGGGCGACGCGGGCGAGGAAGGCCACGCCGAACAGCCCGGCGGGGGTCACCGGCGGGCTCAGGAACCACTCTCCCCACGGCTTGGTCGGGACCATGGTCTGACGGCGGGGCAGCCGCTCCGCCCCGGAGCCGAACTGCCTCCGGACTGCTGCTGGCCTCCGACCCGGCTCCCCGCCCGCGGCCGCCCGAGCATCTCCCAACACCCAAGCGGTAGAACCAGCCGGCCGGGCGAGCACGTCTAGCGTGAGACCCGCCCCCGGGCTGCTTCCGGTCGCGAGTCCCCGGCTCAGTTCTCAGTCGCTCCAGCCGGAGTATTTCCTTCCTCTGGATTGGCTGTCTTTGCTTTATGCCCTCCTCCGGAAGGGGCGGGACTTCTGGTCCTGGGGGAAAGGCGACTTCCGCTCGCCAAGCTGTGCGCTCGCGCCGGGCTGTCCGGAGTTGGTGTTTCATGTGTGAGGGAGTCCTTCTCTCTTCCCGCCCTCACTTCAGTCGGCGGAGCCAGACCGCCGGAGCGGAGCGAGCTGTGAGCTGAATTCCTGGGCCTGGGCAGGAAGCCGGAGCGTGGAAGATGGAGTGAGGGGGCGTTAAACCTGTGCTACTTCCTGGTGCTTTCCTCCTCCCTCTCACAGTTTCCGGGGATTTGTGAGCCCCATGGGGGACCGGGAGGAGTTGAAGGGAGCCCGGAGCGTATGTCACACGCAGTATTTGGACATACTTTTATTTATTTGAAATTATCGTTTTTTGTGTTTTTTTTTTTTTTAATCTAAATTCGAACTTAGGCAATCCTAGATGGAAGGGTGGGAGGAACGGGGAGTCCTCGTCCTTCCTAAACTGTCAGGCTCTTATGCGCCACCGTATTGGCTATTCTTTCCACCAAGAGCGCCTTCCCCTCCCCGTCACTACATTTTAAAAAATATATTTTATTGATTTTTTAAAATATATTTTATTGATTTTTTACAGAGAGGAAGGGAGAGAGATAGAGAGCTAGAAACGTCGATGAGAAACATTGACCAGCTGCCTCTTGCACACCCCCTACCGGGGATGTGCCCACAACCAAGTACATGCTCTTGACCGGAATCCAACCTGGGACCCTTCAGTCCACTGAGCCAAACCCTGGCTCCCTGTTCCTACTTAATCTTTCAGACCTTCAAGCGTTGCCTCCTAAAGGCATATCCTGGCTCTCAGCCAGGTGATATTGTTTGAAGGGCAGTCCTCTCTGTTAACTGAGAGTAGATGGACAAGGGCAGAGGGGCTCTAAGCTCTAGAAAATCACTTACACAGACGATCCTGCCCTGCCACATAAAAGTCTTGTCCAGTGCCTGCTGTCCCAGTGCTCCAGAACTCCATTTTGGAGTTCACTGGAGTATTTGTCACATTGCTTTATGATGACTGATTTTTTGTACTTTGCCTACCTGGTTTTCCATCAGGACACTTTGAATTCTTTGAGGTCAAAAGATTATTTTGTCCTTTTCTGTACCTCTGCAGCTAACACATGTTCCTATTACCAAAATACTTCTAGAGTGACATCCTAGAAATGCTCCCAACTCCCAGTCCTTTTCTCTGAAATATCCTTTACCTAGTTCAAGTTCTGCCCCCTTTACCCACCCACTTCAACCCTGCTTCTATGATTTTCTCACTAAGGACTTTAATCCTTTAGCTGTTTCCCTTCTGTGGGCACTTATTCCACTTACAGGCTACTAGAGGCTTGGTGCACGAAATTCGTGCACTGGGGGTGGGCTGGGGTAGGAGCTGGTTGTCCTTCAGCCTATCCTGTGCCCTCTCACAGTCTTGGAGCCCCAAGATCAATTCCCCCAAAGATGTAGGCCCCGCCCACCCGCCGCCACAGCACCACCATGGGGTAGCCTGGGCCTCCCTCTGCAGGGCATCAGGGGTGGATGGCTGAGCCACCAACCAATTGCATCGCACCTGGCCTGGCTGGCCTGGAGTCAGTGGGTGTCAGCTTGATGTCCAGATGGTCAGTCTGCTGTTAGGCCATTCATTTGGTCAATTTGCATATTACACTTTTATTATAGATTGTAGAATTTCATAATTTACTTTAGATTGTATTCATAACCCTGTGAATGAGATTGTAGGGGTTTTGAGGTTAGGAATTATATCTTATCCTTAATTTTTCAATTATTCATTGCCGTCTCAGGCAGATGGTACATGTTCAGTAAATACCGATTTACTTGATTTTACAGGCATCCTATTTCCTAGGGCAAGTCTTCTAAACTAGGATAAGGAGAATAGAATATTCTATCCAGTCTGAGCATGCAGTTCGCAGGAATACCCTCCACTCATCCATCATACAATTTATACTTTAAAAGAACCATATATTCCATATTATTCATATTCTTATATGTCTGCTCTTTTATGTGCCTTCCTGTAGTTATATGCCCTATATTGATAATTACTTTTAATCATTTTTTGCATTATAATAGCCATATATATGAGGACACCATATCACCATTTAAAGAATAATAATGGTTCCGGGACTGGTTTGGCTCGGTGGATGGAGCATCGGCCTGTGGACTGAGAGGTCCCGGGTTCGATTCCCGTCAGGGGCATGTGCCTTGGTTGCGGGCACATCCCCAGTGGGAGGTGTGTGGGAGGCAGGTGTTTCTCTCTCATCGACGTTTCTAACTCTCTGTCCCTCTCAATTCCTCTCTGTGTAAAATCAATAAAATATATTTAATTAAAATAAATAAATAAAAAATAAAGAATAATAATGGTGATGATGATTTCTAATAGCCAGCTTTGTTGAGGAATTATTTGCAATGTGCCAGGCATTGTGCTAATTACTTAAAATGTACGATAGATATTTTGACCTTTACAAATGAAGAAATTAAGGCTTATAGATATTAAGTAATGATCCTAAGTCACATAATGAACTACTGACAGAGCTGGGATTCAAAAACAGGTCTGTCTGGCTCAGACTATTCTCCCCACCATCACCCCCCAGACTATTCTTAATCACTATGTAACTAATCTGCAAATAAAATGTTGATGAATTCTGATTTTCTTCTCTGCCTCCTCTTATTGATCTCTTATCTGAATCTTTTTGATAGTTTCTCTGTGACTCTGATTTATTCAGTTCCTTTGCCAAAAATATGAGACTTAGTCCCAGAAGTAGAGGATATAGGAAGTAGATATCTGAGGGTTACATAAGTAAGGGTTCCCTGGCTAGGTTGGTGTAGGTGGTGTGGTAGAAAGGCCTCAGCCAATTTGTCTCTAGAGAGCTGAATATTAAAAAAAAAAAAAAAGAAAGAAAAAGAAAAAGAGGAATACAGGGTATAATCATAGCTTTTAATGGGATAGTAATCGTTACCAAGGTTGAGGGTTGGCAAGCAGTAGGGATCGTTTCATAGAAGCAGGTGCAAATTCTAATGATTGTACATCCTTGTATGGTGTGTATCATGTCTTTTATTTCTTTATTACTTGAATGTTACTTCCACCTAACAGGAACTCAGTATTTGCTGATTTTTCTTGAATCTTGTGTCAAATGTGTTCTAACCAGATTAGATTGTTACCATCTTTTGCCTAGTACCTGTCCCTGTGAAATGTTTTACATAGAGATCTCACTGTTTGGAAAATGTTGTTAATGATATATCTGGCCCTTAGTGTATGCTACTTGTTATTTTAGTTTTCCCTCCTCACAAGTTTGTAAGTTTCTTAAACTTTTAAAAAATATATATATTTTATTGAATTTTTACAGAGAGGAAGGGAGAAGGATAGAGAGCTAGAAACGTCGATAAGAAAAAATCATCTACCAGCTGCCTCCTGCACACCCACCACCGGGGATGTGCCCGCAGTCAGTGCACATGCCCTTGACCGGAATCGAACTCGGGACCTTTCAGTCCGCAGGATGACTCTCTATCCACTGAGCCAAACCGGCTTCAGCAAGTTTCTTAAACTTTAAGGGACTGTATTTCATATATCTTATATATCATTTATGTCTATGATTCATCTGTTAACTAGTTTTCCAACTGTAGGTAAGTATTTTATTGATGATGATAGGAGTCCCAATTTTTTCCTCGGCCTTTCCATTTCTGGGGAACAAGGGTCAGTGACTGGTATCCGTTGCTTTTGTCAGAGAATTTAGGACCTGAACCAGGTTAGTGACAGATATGAATAGGAGGGAAATCCATTTCTTTGAGAGTTGGGTAAAGAAATACCCAACAGCCGGGACCAGTTTGGCTCAATGGATAGAGCGTCGGCTTGGGGACTGAAGGGTCCCGGCTTCGATTCCGGTCAAGGGCATGTACTTTGGTTGCGGGCATATCCCCGGTAGGGGGTGTGCAAGAGGCAGCTGATTGATGACTCACTCTCATCGATGTTTCTAACTATCTCTCTCCCTTCCTCTTTGTACAAAATCAATAAAATATATTAAAAAAATACCCAACAATTAATTGAATGGGCTTATAGAGCCTTGAAGAATGTCTCTATGGTAACATGGTATGGAAATTGGGCATGTGTTCACTGGCAAAGGGATAGTGCCCAGGACCCAAAGCAACTTGACTTCCTGGATTAAGCTGAGCCAACTTTCAGATTTCTGGGTCTTAAAAAAATCTTGTCCTTTAAAAACTGAATTTGAAATGTATTTACTAAAGGACCCTAAGGTTAATGAGGGAATGGATGTTAGCAACAAAGGGAATGAGTGTGGCCACATGATTACAAGTTCTTCCAGCACAGCTACATTTAGTTTTCGTTCCAGGCAGGCCTGTGAGTTCAGGCCTTAATCATAGACTGGTTTGGATTTCCAAAAGAAGCTGGAGTGAAGAACAGAGATTCATCCATTTTATTTAGTAGCTTGTTCTGAATAGACAAAAATAAACCAAGAAAATCTCACACATCTCTCTTCTAGGTAAATTTGACCTACTTCAGTCTTGAATGCAATGGATGGGAAAGCTATCCCTAGATACTTTTGCTTCAGTAGAGTTGGCCCATGCCAACTTTACCACAAACATCGTGTGTTGTTTTACAAATAAGTTAGGTTAAATAGCACGGGTAAAGCACCAGGGTAGCAGCCTTGGGGAGGGGGCGGTGTCCCTGGCTTGTAGCACTAGTAAAACTGTCTTCCTCTGCTAAGGTCTTA